ATTCCCTGCAGCTCAAAGAGTCTCTTTGAGGGTCTTCAAGAGTACACCAAAGGAGCATCGTATGCAGCTGGTTGCCTTGATGTACCATGCAAGTCTCGTGCTGGATTCCGAGAAGCAATTCATACTGTCAAGAGGGCAGATTTTGTTGTTATAGTTGTTGGTCTTGATTTGACACAAGAAAGAGAAGATCATGACCGAGTTAGTCTTCTCTTACCCGGTAAACAAATGGCCCTTGTATCTTCTGTGGCAGCTGCAAGTAAAGAACCAGTGATTCTAGTTCTTACTGGTGGTGGACCACTTGATGTGACATTTGCCAAAGAAGACCCGCGAATCGCAAGCATTCTTTGGATTGGGTACCCTGGGGAATCTGGCGGGAGAGCACTAGCAGAAGTCCTCTTTGGAGATTTCAATCCGGGTAGGTTATTGGAAAACATGAGTTTCATATTATGGAGTTTATGTTTTGCATGAAATGAAATCACCTCTATTTATTGTACTACTCTGGGATGGAGTCACTTCCTGAAATATAATCATAAAGATGAAATTTAAACATGATATGGAAAGAAGGCCCCATCACAAATGCTATGAGTTGTGTTTTGTGCAAATGCTCATCAGAGTTATTTTATTTCTGCTAGGCATCCAAACACATACACTTAAATTTTCAAAGGCAAAATTTAACATGATCGCTTGATATGATTATAAATAGGTGGACGGCTACCTATGACTTGGTATCCTGAGTCATTCACCAATATACCGATGAATGATATGAACATGAGGGCCGATCCTTCTCAAGGTTATCCGGGAAGAACCTACCGATTTTACACAGGGAGCAGGCTGTATGGATTTGGAGATGGCTTAAGCTACAGTAAGTTCACTTACAACATCGTATCTGCGCCAAAAAAGTTAAGGTTATCAAGACCTCTCAAGGTTGATTCCAGCAGAAACATACTACACCAAGCAGGAGATACACTTGATTATTTACACATTGATGAGGTGACATCTTGTTATTCCTTGAGATTTTTTGTTGAAATCACTGTGACAAATATAGGAGACATGGATGGAGGCCATACTGTGATGTTGTTCTCCAGAATGACAAAAGTTGTAAAGGGTGCTCCAAAACAACAGCTGATTGGATTTAACCGTGTGCATACTGGTTCGTACAAATCTACTGCAACAAGCATTCTAGTTGATCCTTGCACACATTTTAGTTTTGCAAATGATTATGGGCAATGGATATTGCCACTGGGTGATCATAGGTTAATGGTAGGAGATATAGAACACATCGTCTCAATTGAAATTAATTGATGCTATTTATGTCAAACAGGTGACACGATTGTTGAAGCACATGTATCATTCATTTTGTTTTACAGAAATTAAAGCTTTCTGAACATAGTGATCTCTGATACTGCTAAATATCCATAAAATACAGTCAGAAGCTAAATGTATATTTTGAATTTAGAAAGAATTTTCTGCTAATGTGAATTTTCTACAAATTTTCTAGATAAGATTCAGATATGAAATTGAACTTTTCTCCATGGCTGTGTGACAGATGCTTTGTCACTGGGCTATAAGCATGTCATTTTTTTATATTATTATTTGATAATTCAAAAGCCATTGATAAGAATTGAGATGGAAATTCTTAAATGAAAATGAAGACCCCTCAACTAATGGAGTTGGTAGAATGATGCAATTTGGAGGATATAAGGTCATAAAATAAAAGGTTGCGTCACAAGAAGCCTATGGATTAGTTAGTCAGTTTAGTAAGTATTGCTTTGGGATGAAGTCTGCAGCAATTACCCCAGTTAATAAATTAATAATCATTTCGAAAAATATGTCTTTGCTCTCCTATTAGAAAAGAAAATGCTTACACATTGCTCAACTTGGCTAATTCAATTTCAAAGTGTGAATTGCCAGAGCACAAACTTAACCTAGCAAACTTAACAAAGTGATTTTTCCAAAATCAGATAAATTTTTGTAGGTGATGATAGTAACACCACATGACATGCCGATAATATAATATAACATGCGATTGACGACATGCATGTATATATTGATGTATTAAAATATAATATTAATAAGGGTTTTTATCACAAATGGTCCTTAAGAATTACAAAATTATCACCTTTAATCTTTTATGTTTTTTTTTTGGTGACAATATTGGTCATTTATGTTACACCTCACATATTAATTGGGTTCCTTCCAGGAGATTCTGCTAAAATTTCTGTTAATACATCAAATAAATGGAGAGATAGAACCTATTCCTCTCAAAAGCATTCTCTTTTAAATTTCAATACGCGTGGCCGAAAGCAGAATAGCAAACCGCGTTGGCATTTTGACAACCGTAAAAAAGTAAACTACTGAGAGTGTGACATGTCAAAATAACCTTAACAAAAAAGCAGGCTTTTTCTAGGGGAATAAACGATCCATTCCAATTGGGTCATTTCACATCATATATTCCTTTAAATTCATATTAAAATATTTCCTTCACGTTCTTCCCCTCATCAAATCAAATAAAGCCTGCCCTATAAAGGCCTTGGGGTATTTTCACATATGGACTACTTCTGGAGGAATTGTTCAAGTTGATTCCTTGATGTACATTATTCTCTCATTTTCTAACATTTTTTTAAAAAGATTTAGTTGTTGTTTTGCATTGTATTACAATTTTGATTTCATAAAGGTACAAAAGAATGAATCTTTTTTGTTTTTTATACAAGTGATAATGAGTAACGATATATATATATATATTGTTCAAACAAAATTTAGGAGGAGATTGGCTACCACCAGCGTCAGGACAAACCCACAATCTCGAGTCGAAAGGATTTACGCATGGTAGCCAACTGCCAGCTGCCACCAATATGGATTTATCTAGGTAATTATAGATTGCACACCAACGAGGACTGATGCTGGCAGCGGGACTCGAACACTGGTGGGGTTACACACAATGCATAGACCTTACCAACTGAACCAACCTTGATAGTAAGGACTTGAACATATTTGGATATGCTTTTTCATGCTCTAAAACTTCATCTATGATGAAGTGATTAAGAGTAATATCCTGTATTTATCATCTTGAGGTTCAAAATGGTAATTAATACATGGTAAATTGGTTACTAGGCATGCCTTGCGAATTGAATGGTGAAATGAAGGGGATATTTTTGCTCATCACTTTAACCCAAGGTGTACCCTCACTACCATTCTCAACACTTGACACATGTCTCTTAGTATAACCAGAGTTAACTATTTACTTTGTATTTATGTAACTATGGTTATGTTAATAGACACGTATCAAATATTAAGAAGAGTGATGATGGTACACCTTAAATTAAAGTGATGAGCAAAAATGCTCCCGTAAAATAAAAAGTTGGAGCAAAAATCTTATCCAATGAGAATTTTATCAAGGTTGATTTCCACAATTGTGGCCCCTAGGCCCACTTTATTTGTAGCAGGACCGCTTTCATTACTTTTCTTCCATCAAATATATTTTCTCTTTAAAAAGAATTTGCAAGAAAAATGGATATCTTTTGATTTGGGCCCTCCACTTTGTTTCTTGATGGCCATATATAATTGATGAGAATTGACACGTCAACAGTTGAATTTCTAGGTGTCTTCTGTCAGGCCTTCACGAGTCCACGTGAGACATGTTCTTGTTGTTATCTACACACCATATGTAACCTTCTACGGAAATGAGAAGGTTTTCTTTCTTAATTACAGAAATACCAAGCTTGAGAGGAATTGAATTTCTTTGCACTGTAACAAAGAAGAAGAAAAAGGCCGTCGAGTGGACTATAGGTTTGCTGGTTTGCCCCCCTCTTTATCATCCAGTTGGCCTGGATTTGAATTCAAAATTCCCCCTTCTCTTTAGAATAGAATATAGTTGTAACTCAAAAAAATGAAAAAAAGAGAAAGAAACATAATAGCTTCTAAAGTACAAATTAGTTTAAGACTATAATATAAACAGTAATAGTAAGGGACTTATAGTTTAAATAGTTACGAACATTTACGTATGCAATAGAGGTTCTAAATTCTAGATCCTATGTGACAGAGCCACTAAGCCCATGCACCCCCAATATATTTGTGGCTCTTCGCAAAGTGATGGAACATGTAATGAATCACAACTAAGGGTCTCTTTGATAATCATTTCAATTTTAGTTTTTAGTTTTTATTTTTTGTGCTATAATATGGAGAAAAAAGAGGGAAAAAAATGAGAATGAGAGTGGAGTGGGATTGAGAGGGAAGATGAGAAGGGAGGATGGGAGGGATAAGTAATAAAAGTGAAAACCAAAACTAAA